CAAACAAACAAACAAACAAACAAACAAACAAACAAACAAACCTCTACTCAACAAAGGTGAATAGAGTGAAAAAAAATCAGTAATCTCTTTTTAATTGTCATTTTCAGAGATTTAATTTTAGTTTTCTTACAAAGAGCAGAGATCCTGTTTGCTGTCTGCTCAGAGTCAAAAGAGTAAAAGTGGAAAATGTGACAAAAATGCTAAAATATTCTGTGTAACTGTTAACATATAAAAATGTATTTTTAATACAAACTACGCTTCACATCACATAGTTTTCATAACTACTTTCTGTTTGCATCAGTCTTGTTATTATTATTATTATTTTCTGTACGTAAAGCTGACGGCAGACGTACCCGCAGCTGATGACTGGTGTAGTTGTAGTATTTGAGTCTGTCGTTAGCTGCGGCACCAGAGGAGATGTTCAGAACTCCAACCTTCAGCTGATCCAGGGTGTTATTGGACAGCTTTAAGTCTCGGTCCAGCTGCCAGATGCAGTCATCACAGCCTGAAACAAAGAACATGAACAGACCCTGCTGTTGCTTTGGTTCTTATATTAACTACATCTACTTTATTCTTTTTCAGATGCAGTGGCTTGCAAATGTATTGATACTCCTTCCATATTTTGTCACTTTATAGCTACAAACAAAAATATTTCAATGGAATTTGAAGTGATTCCAGTGTGAACTGTATTTAGTCATTAGAGAGCACTCAGAGAAAGGGGGCTGAATATTTTTGCTCATCACACTTTTCATTTTTTATTTGTAAAATGTTTTTAATTTGTATAATTTTCTTTCCAATTCACAACTGTATACCACTTTCTGTTGGTCTTTCACATTAAATTCCAGTGAAATATATTTATGTTTGTGGTTGTAATGTGACAAAATATAGAAAAGTTCAAGGGGTATCAATACTTTTACAAGCCATTGTGTTCATGTATTATATGTATATTCTGCTCAGTAGGAATAAAAGGCTTTTAGTATTTCTACCTTTTTATTGTTTAACTTTTTTACAAAACATTTCCTCAAAAAAAATCCAGGTCTACTTCAGCGAATGTTTTTTCTTCTGCTTCTTTTAGCTTTTTTTTCTGCTAATTTAAGCTTTGTTTAATAGTTTTACCACATTTAGCATTGATCTATTTAGTTGATTTTAGTTTTTAGTTACATTTTTGTCATTTCTAAGCTATAGTTTAAGCTTTTAGCTAAGATTTTGCTAGTTTGAAGCTACTGCTTTGTTGATTTTATCTGCTGTTTGTTTTAACTTTAACAATGCAGCTAATAAGTTATTCCACAAACGTTTCAGCACTTCTTCACATGGGYGCAGTTAGTATGGGGGACGGGGGGGACATGTCCCCCCCAGATTTATAGTGACCCTGATCTGTCCCCCCCACTTTCCCTGATAGGATGAGAAAAAATCTGATCAAAACTTATGATTACCGTTCTGTTAGTTCGCTGACGCTCCCACAGAGGAGCAGCAGCAGCCCCCCTCCCATCTCTCAGGCTGTGTCACACAGCGGAGCGGTGCAACACACACACACACACACACACGGGTTTGTTCTTTATTCTCATGGGGACTTTGCATTGACTTCCATTCATTTACCGGTCATTT